GGAAACACACCTTGACTGAGGGTGGACCTGAGGGGAATGGGGGCAGACCTGAGGGGAAGGGGGGCTGACCTGAGGGGAAGGGGGGCTGACCTGAGGGGGTCCTAGCCCCTGCTCCTCCACCTGCCACTCTCCCTTCACATCAGGACAGGTAGTCCATAAGCACTGAGACTATTTGTTGGGGTTCATTTAAAATCATTTCATGTCAGTGTTCACTTATCCTTCCTTCCAACACACGCATTTTTTTTCAGGTAGTAGGTTTTCCAGCCTCTTTTGCTAACTCCCATGATTTTTTTTCTCCCCTTTGGTTCCCCAAGACAAGGTTCTGCTTTTGTGTGTTCCGCCCTAACACTCTGGATAGGATTTCATAGCTTTGAGTGAGAGCTAGACCTAGTCAGACCCAACACTTCTGGAAAACACGTTGCAAACTTAATAAACCAAGTAAGGTAACCATAAAAAATAAATAAAATTTCAAATCAAACAAAGTATCCACATCTGCATTGGGTGAACACAATCTGTAGTACATCCCAGTCTTGGCCTGTGATCACCCAGGTAAGGAAATTGGTTGATCCACATCAGGGTTTTATGCGTCTCATGTACCTGGATTTCATTCCCACAGAAGGTAAGTCAAAAATTCCTAACTGGTGAGTAGCTAAATCTAATCCCAGCATGGCATCAGGGCACGGACACACCAGACACAGGACCTTGGACATAACCCTGTGTCCACCAGTAGAGATGTCATCATGTTTTCTTAAATAACTTAGACTAAACTAGGCCAAAGGAAATTTTCAAATCAAATTCTTTAACAAAATTTCACATTGCTGCAATAACTAACTTGAAACAGTTCAGAAATAAAACTCCTCCCCTGTGGTTATGGCCTGCGTGACCCCCCCCGCAGGGGCCCCCAGGCACGGCTGTGACAATTTTATCACTTGCAGCAAGGGAGTCACCTCTCAGCAGACAGATAAAGGGAACATACACAGCATCCTGCACGAGGACGAATTCTTTCCCACGTTACAGCTTCTCCCTGGCAGCAAAATTTTCTTTGAGCAGGTGTCCACCTCTCCCTCCTCGCTGTTTCTTCCGAAGGTCTCCGCACCTACAAGCGCATTCCAATATTCTGACTGTCCATTTGCTTTCAGCTATCAAAAGTAAATCCAGTAATTAGTCATTTCTATTTTCAGTTGCTTTACTGATTTATTTACTTTTAATAGAAGCACTGAACAGAGTTAATACACTTCACATTTGAACATTATTATTTAATCAAACTTGTCAGAACTATATTGAATCCGCAAGATATAATTCTATACAAACAGTAAATAATATTATTTCAAGGGACAACTCTTTAAAAACATTCTGCTGACAAGGCACTAATTCCCCTTACTACTGAGAAAGCATGCAATATGAAATTAGCAGTTTAGAAGCTTAAATTGCAAAATTATTCATATCACCGTAAGTGTAAGAAATAAAACAGCAGTGCCTAAAGTTCCTAAACTCATCCTTAGTTCTTCTTGGGATCCACACACGGACACAAATCTCAAGGCCTCCATTGCTCTAGGTTTGTTTCTTCAAACTATCTTTTGGAATTTTCACCGGGAATATCTTTCTTGAGTAGGAAATGTAGCCTATAAAGGAGAGAATAACCAAAGATTAAAAAAAGATTAATCATGAAGATCACAAGGTTCTCAGACAATTCAACAAAAGCACATTGTCACTGTGTTTCTTTGCGTGCAGCCCATCAGTGACAGAAATCAGCAACTATATAGACCTATAAAAATCAAACTTCTAACTGTGAGTGCTAACATTGTATACCATAGATTTCTCCACAAGTAAAATTCTAACAGTAGGTGTGTAATTGGTAAATATTCCAATATTGTATAACAATGTATATGTAGAAGCTTCATTTGGAAAAGGGGGCCATTTATCTGAAAGACCCAAGGTACATTGATTCTACAGGACAATCAAAGTTGTATTTATTCTCTCTATTACTGAGTTTTACCTTTCCTTCATTCAAGGTCTTGCAATTCAAAATGCACGTTCGATTTTCAATGTATAAGGAATTGAAAAGGTTTATTGCTACAATCTATCATTGAGGCTTAACAGGAATTAAAGGTGGAGTGGTCTTTTGCCCAGGATAATTGCAACCTGTCAATACTACAATTAGATTTAATGTTTAGGCACAAATGTGACTAAGCCAATCACTGATCAACAGGGAGACTTTCTGATGAAGGGGTTTTTTTCATAACTGACCACTATCTCACTTAAACTTTCTAAAGCTTCTGCTTATCTGGAGGTACTAAACACAAGGTGCACCTGCTGGTGTTACCCATTATCACAATGGGGAAAGAATCTCTCAAAGGGGAAAACGTGATGAAATGAAAAATAAATTTTAGAAAGTCATGTATTTTAAGATTTGAAGCATACAGAAGTGAAGTAAATCAGGGCCTCCAAACCCACACAGGGATCTGTGCTCAGAAAGGAGACCAAAGTCAAGCAATACAGAACGGGAGCCAGAAGCATATTTTATTTTTGTACAGGTAGATGATATGTCCCTCTTTATTTATGGTGTTGCAGATGCTTGTGAAAGCCAAGCCTAATTAATAAACCTACCATGAGGCCATTTTTGGTAAAGATTAATAAACCTACCATGAGGCCATTTTCACATGATATTTAGTATAGTTGTATTTTGAAAGCATATCTGCTTACCTTCTTTCCGTTTTCATAAAAATGTAGTAAATGTATGTATAAAACACACAAGCTGCAAGAAGAAAAATGGTACATTCATTTTGTTTAAAAGCCAGTAAATCTGGTAAAAATGTATTAAGGAAAAAGGGTCTAATCTAGTAGTGAATACATGTCTAAATTTACTAGGATTATTTATTTAAAAATAAGAATGCAACTAAACATTTGGCTGCATTGACACCACCAACAACATTCAGTTATATAATCTGATAATCTTGTAACACTGAGCCAGTAATTTCATTAAAATGAAATTCTAGTGGTGCTAGACTACATCAGCTGTTCTAATACAATAATTGGTGTTAGGGTCATTAATTCATTCACATCCTTCAAGGGAGATGTAAAATTTACTCTTGAATATTCCAAGTTCCACACAAGCACAAAGTTCTGTTCTACTTGTTAGCTTGGGCAGAATCTAATCTATTTTTTCTGTTGCAAGCATCATAGATTTCTAACAGGAATAAATGTTGAAACTATTTAATTGGTAAAGCTGATAGAGAATGATTAAATAAAAGGCCACAGACCAAATGGGTGAGAAGGGATGCAACAAGCATCACAAAATTAACATTGCACTTAAGGGGTCAAGAAAGACAAGAAAAATGAAGGATTGAAGTGCTTGGGGCTTCATATTTCTAAAGAAAACATTTGTGCATTTTTTCTACTAGTTGGTTAATCTGTCCATATCCTACTAAAGATTTTTCAGTATCTGTCCTCTTTACTTGTAGAAATTAAAAACATGAAAAAAATACAGGCAATTCTATCCCAGCACCATTATTTTATATAACAGTCCTAAACCAGACTTTTACCTCTGTTATCTATTACAGTGTTAAGCTCTTGCTAGTTTTAAGGGACTAAGAAATAAAACTTTTAAGATCCCTTTGGGAGATAAATTCACTTTCAAAATACACTTACCCACTGAGAAATTTTATTTCTTATCGTGTCCATTTTGGATCAGTTAAGTCTTCATTAAATGCCCATGAGATACACTAAAGTATTTTTTTTTTTAGTGTTTATTTCACATTTCTTACTACCATGAAGCAAAATTCTAAGCACTGATGGCTTTAATTTAGTTTGCATTTCCAAAGCAAGTGCATTATAATTTTATGAAAACTTTCTAAATCCCACAATCCTTCATGAAGGCTGTCAGCTATAATTTATATTTCCATTTAAAAACAGGTGCCATAGGTTCAAAAATGCAGAAATTCTGGAACAATACATTCAAAAAGCAATGTCACATGCACGAATTCTGATAATTAACTAATCCTCTGACAGTATAACTGCATACAAATTAGCAATGTTTATGCATACACATGATTAACTTTAGCCTATGGCATGCCAAATGCTTTAGCTAGGCTTTTAGCCTAATATCTAATTACCTTCAGGGCTGCTTAATGGCTACAGGACAGGACTCCTGGAGAATTTCCCACAGTATTCTGAAATAGGTACGCTGACGTGCCCACTGGGAACAAGGATCTTCCTCTTCGGTGCCTGGGAAAGGACCCACGCAGATTGGGAAGCTCTATTCTACCCAAGCTGCCTCAGGCTCTTAAAGGCAGCCAAGTATCTCAGACTTTAAGGTCTTCAAAAATAGGATTATGTACAGCAGATAGTATGCTTTATTAATTAAACGCTTGTACATGCAGAGGCTCTCCAGCACCTGGCAACAGACGTTATTCCGGTTCAGAAATCTCAGCGTTTTACTTTAGGCTTGTATGTCTGGGTTTTGGTGTCTTTTCTAGATACTGTTGAGTTTCCCTAGCTCAGTATCCAGGGCTGAAGGCTGCAAGCCCTTTTGGATCACTGCTCATCTTCAAAAATTGATGTATCAAAGTACTCGGAGCCGCACCTTCTGCACGAGGTACCTGCAGGACGTACCGTGAGCTCTTCACTTGCAGCCTGCACAAAGAACACTGGAGGTCACTCCAGAGTTGCTCAAGTAACAACTTTTCCCAAAGAGAGACAGACACCAATTTTTTTTCAACATTCGGTTGCACGTAGCTGGTTAAACATAACACCCTGTGTGCCTTCTGCACAGTCAGCTCTCACTATTTATTATTTTACTGAAATTGCACGCTTATCCCGAGTCCTAGACTAATGTAAACGAAAAATAAAGGCAACTACCATTTAAAGAAAAAAAAACAGGTTTCTTCTTAGTTCTGCTACGAAACAAAGGCTCCTAAATTCAAGCCACAGAAGTCAGACATTGCTGTGAGGAAGCAGCGTGTGTGTGTGGGAGCACAGGGGTGACCTGCCGTGCTGTCCCCAGTGGTCCCCCCCGGGGGCACAGACGGGCAGCCCTGGCTCTCTCTTGCTTTCAAGTAAATAAGTCCTTTGTTAATGAGACCACACTGCCATTTATTCTGGCTGTGTCTTATTTGGCTTCTCTGTATTTTGCATGGTTCCAGAATATAACTGTCTTTTCAGCATAATTTTCAGTAGATTCAAAACATGCCTTGACAAGGAGATCAAATCCAAAAAAACCTCCAAAACACAAGCCCATAGTTTAGTAGTGATGCTAATTAACTTCATTCCTGAGACAAAGGAATTGTGCTATGATAGTTTCAGGCAGCTGTTAGAATGTAAGTCAAACAGCAAGAGACCTCTGGTGAGGTGAATATCTGTGTGGGACAGACGTTAATGACACCACTCCCACTGATTTTGCTTGCTCTCAAACCCACGTAAAATAGTAAAAACCATAATCATTCTTCATTTTCTCTTGAACATTTTCCCTAAGCAGCTCAAAAACGCTCTGTAGATAAGTACCAATCTCCATATTTTCTCAGCTTACAGAAGAATTGTCCTAACAACAACAAAAAAAAGCTATAAAAAATTCTTCACTAAAAAAATGTATTTAACATTTCAATCAAGAAAGGGAGTGTTTAAAAAAGACTTTCCTTTCAAAAAGTAAAAAGAAAAACGTGGTCTAGAGTTCTCAGAGAAGTAAGTAATACTTAGTGCTACTTCACTAGAATTAAAAGCAAAAATTGGTTCTGTAGCCTAAAACAAGAGTATTTTAAGTTAGACTTTAAGGACACTTTAAATGTAGGACTCCCAGTAATAGAATGGATTCCCCTCCCAGGTTCCTTCAATGAAAATAACAAAACAAGGCATCTGGAAAAGAAGGAAAGGCATATTTTATGTTTCATATAGATAAGGGGAATTTTTCCCTCCTAGCAACTGTCCTTAATAAGTGGGCAAAATTCAAGATGTAGAGCATTTGAAAGTTTTCTGTTAATCTTTTCTGAGTAAAACAACTTTGTGCAAATAACCTAAAAGACTCAGGTGGTAACATTCTAAATATTGCATGGATCTCCAGGTTATTAAACAACTTTAAGTGTCAAAAGGCATTCATAAAAAAAAAAAAAAAAAAAAAAGAACCAACCCAAAAAACAAGAGCTGTGGTTCAATCCCTTCAGGAAGTGTTAGAACAAATACCCTTACTGGAAGGGCTCTTACCAAAACTGAACTTCGGTGTGGTTTTATAATTTGGTTTCCTTTTGCTTTGAATAGTGAAAGTGCTCTTGCATTGCCTAAGATCTTCCTAAAAAAATTACCTGTACACAGATTTCAAAAGTCTGTATTCTGTAAAGAAAATTAATCTTGCAGCATATCCATCAGTGTAGAAGGAAACAACTCTGTTCTTTGTCCTCAAGTAAATAAAAAAAAAAATTAAATAAATGCAGCAGCAGTTTTGTACTAGAAGCCCCAACAAGTCTTTTCTGGCACTGAGACATGACAAATACTTGTTTTCCCAACAGCAAACATGATCTGACAGTCTCCACTTCTTTAAGAAGTTCCCATCAGCTATAGTACTGTACTGTACTGAAGGCACTACTTTTTTTCACTCTTTTAAATTCCTTTAAACTACGGATACATCTTGTGCTTTCTAATATCTGTCTGTTCTCTACATTACCCAGGTCAAGTTTCCAGAGAAAAGTCCTAAAAGACTGTTTTCATGAGCCTATTTTAAGATCTTTACTAATTCAGCAATATTTTTGGTACTAAGGCAAAGATTTATCATGAGTGCTTCTTGATCAATAATTCATACCAAAATAAAATAAAATAGAAGTAGGGAAGCAGAGTTATCAATATCACTCCAGCTACTCATTTAAAAAAAAAAAAAAAAAGTATTAACAAGAGCTCTGACTATAGGAGAGAAAATGAGGTAAAATTATTATTTTTACCCACTGCAGCACAGGTACGAAGTCAAGTTAGATTTCCATTGCACTACTGCTGGCACAATTAACTGTTGCTAGGGTAAAAAAAATATATCTACACTTAATTAAATTACATATAAAAGCCATATGATAGAGACATTTTGTAATAACTGAAAGAAACAGCAAAACCGAGAAAAAATTAACGTCACTGCGGGAGCTGACGCAATGCCTAATCGTTACTGTATTTTGTCACAGTTCCTGGCTGCCCTCTCTCTACCACGTTCGGGTGCGCACATTTAACTTGCGGGAGCAGACACAGCCTTTACGTTCCAGGCTGGAACGCTCCAAAGCGCACGGAGCTGTTCGTGCTCCCAGCGCGGCCCCTGCGCCGCGGGTCCGCCATGGCGGCGGCTCCCCTCAGAGAGAGGGGCGGGGCCCGCACCGCCCATTGGCTCCGCACGGCTGGGGGCGTGGCCTCCCGCGGCGGAACGCCCTATAAGGAGGCAGCCGGGCCCCATTGCTGCCAGCAGCAGCGATGGCCGAGTGGTTAAGGCGTTGGACTTGAAATCCAATGGGGTCTCCCCGCGCAGGTTCGAACCCTGCTCGCTGCGGTCGGTGACGGTCACCTTTTACCCTTCCGCCGAGTCCTTTTATTTCGTATAACACACAAGTTTTACTCCTCACGTCTTCTCTCGCTGCTCAACCTCCGCAGCACAATGAGAGATTACCCGGTATTTCACGGGATCGGCAAGACCGAGAGGACCGCAGTGCATCATCTGGTCCAAGCTCCCCGCACCCGGCACAGAACCATCCAGACAGTTCTGGGATATCCCCAGTGAGGGAGACCCCGCACCCTCTCTGGGCAACCTATTCCAGTGCTCAGTCGCTGCACAGGAACAAAGTTCTTCCCCATGCTCAGGTGGAACGTCCTGGGCATCAGTTTCTGCCTGTTGCCTCTCGTCCTATTGCTTGGCACCACCAAGAACAGCCTGGCTCCATCCTCTTGGCACCTTCCCTTTAGATATTTAGATACATTAAGGAGATCCTCTCTCACTCCTCTCCTCTCGAGGCTGAACAGGCCCAGCTCCCTCAGCCTTTCCTCACAGGAGAGATGCTCCAGTCCCTTAATCGTTTTTGTTGCCCCTATAATATTTATCCTAGTGCAGCTCATTAGGCCAGGCCTACACACTCCTCCCCTACTTCTGACAACAAATAACAGCAATAGGTCCCAGGGCAAGTTGCTGGCATTGCATCTGAAGCACCTGTGATAAGAGCACTTGGTGGAGATGAGAGAAGGGCGCATGGGGATCAGTGTTCTTTTAACAGCTCACTGTCCAGGCTCTGGGGACAGGACAGGCAGTGTCCAAGTGCAAAGCTCAGGATTAATCCAATGCCTTACACAAAAACATTGTACTGACCTGCCCAAAGGACTGTTGTCCTGCCCCCATGTCCAACAGCTGATACAAAATAAATAAAACCCTGTCAGCAGCAGGCTACTCCCTATGGAATGCATTTGCTCCATGGAATCTTCCCTTTCGTGAAGGAAGCTGGTCCGATTCCTCCTAGACCTCCACGGAGGGGGTCCTAGATCATCTTTTCCAGCCCTTTATGACCTTCTGCACATGCATGACATGCACACATACACATGCAAAATCTGGCAATGATGGGGAAAAAAGCCCCACAGAAGTTATTTCACAACTAAGAACCAAGAAAAACAAAAGGCGGCCCCCTCAATCCCCTCTTTCTGACTGGCTTAAACTGACTTGCACCACTCAGATGTGTTAGTTTCCTCCTCTGTGTGGCTCCTGCATTAGTGAAGGGCTGAAAAATTCACCAAGTCACGTAAGAAAAGGCTGGAAATAAGGAAAAGACCATTTTCACAGAGGCCAAAATAGGCCAGAGCAGGAACAACCACTTTTCACTCCTCTCTCTCTCTTAAAGACAAGAGAAAAAAACCCAACACAAACACACATGCAAACCCATTTATTCTAGGATCGTGTTTTGTTAATGCAACTTAATTTAATCAAAAATAGAGACGGGGAAGAACAGGAAACAGTGACTTATCCCCACTCAGAACAAAATAAAAGAGGGAACAAACAAACAACTGTTTAAGCTGGCAGCAAAATATGAACATTTCAAAAAGCTCCCTAACCAGGCTTTCCAGGGATTTCAGGTTTTGCTGTTTGTTCCTGTTAGGGCACATGTAAGTTAGAAGGTACACTTTAGAGGGAATCTTAAACTGCCAAATAACTGACAGTGGGACTGTGTAATATATGACCATAATATAAGGCATTTCTCTTAAGTTCTCACAGGTGAAAGTACGTGCCAGTGGATACTGGAATTGCACATCTTATCTCAAATATTGCAGAGGAGGCAGTTTTTAAATTCAATACCAACTTAGATATCCTTTGCCAAGGTGCAGTACATGTGCTACTTTCTCCTTAGCACATTTATATTCTCACAGCATCTTAAAATTTTGTGTTAAGAACAGTGCAACATGTTAGTCACTCTGCAAAATATCAAAATTTTGAGGGAGTGTGCACATTTCAGATAACTTTAAAAAACTACCCTATTTTCCTCATATAAGGCCTGATTTTGTTTAATCAGCCAAGAATTTAAATTATTTTTTTTTCCTTTATAATTTGAAGATTCTTCCCACCTCTGTAATCTCAAACAGAAGAGGGAAACACTATTTTGTGTAACGCAGTTTTGGGGGGCTTTCCAAATTAATAAAGAGATAGTATTAAAAGACTCAAATTCCTAAACAGTGGCCAAGCTAATCCTTCTTTTCCACTGTATCATTGAAGAAGTTGACAGGGTTTTTTCTGACCAGTTTCAGGGTTCTATTTCCAAAAGACATGTTTCATTGTTTTCATAAATCTGAAGACAAAGCACCAACCCAAATAAACATTTGTTAGGAAGTTTACTTCAGGATGTCCTTTTCTCTGGACCTTGCTGGGGCTGGAAATATCAAATGACTGACACCAAAATATGTCGTTATTTTAAATTTTATATTGAAAAACAAGAGGCCAGCCTGTCAGAAAAACAACAAAACTCTGCTCAATGTAAGGAAGTATTTGCATTCAGTGAACCTTTTCAACTTGAAAGAGAATTTCCCCCAAAATTTGCAGTTGAAAGAAGAGCAGCAGCAAACACCCAAGTTCTTTCCCACTCTCACCCATCAGCAAGGGTTATGAAAATGTTCCCATCAAGGCACTAAAGGGGAAGAACCATATGGTTTTAATTGCAGTTATTTTTTGTAATTACAGAAGAAAATAAGTAAGGACTGCCAAGCAGCCCACTAAAGCTGCAGACACAGCACCAGCGTCCTGGGCTCAGGACCTCAAGTAGCAGAAGACACCAAAGGCACCCAGACCCAACGAGCTGCAACAGTCTCTTACTCCTCTGGGCCTTTCTGCTCCTTCTCCTGCCCACCACCCACCCAGAGACATCATTCACACAAAGTCTGTGAGGAAGAGGAGGAGCTGACAGTCCTCCCTCCACCCAGCCAGAATCTGGGGGCTCCATGGAAATGAATGACCAACTCTGACAATCCTGACAAAGTCGTTTCTGTAAGGACTGACGCCCAAAAGTCAAACTGCATCTCCCTAGAAAAGCTGTCTGCCTTTGGTGCCAAGAGTCCTTCCGTATTTTAAGAGAAGCACTTTTGACAAAGCAGCAGGCAAATCATTTTGTCCAAAGCACTGAGTACCACAACACATATCAGAGCTGGAAACCTCCTGAACTTTGGCAAAAAACTTCATTTTCTAGAAGTAGCCCCTCTCCCTTACTGTTCCACCAGAAGAAGGGAGAAAGAGTAAACCAGTGTGAAGTTGGAATAGAGGAAAGAAAAATCATTTTCTCCAGCATCCATCACCTGTGACAGGTTAGAATATCCATCAGAGACCTGAAACATTTAAAAGCTCCAAGTTTATTCTGTGTACCACCGTAATAACTCAGACACAAGCCCTTCAAAGCTGGGACAAACAGAGCACCTGAAGAGTCTCATCTTCACTAACACGAGAGGGAGACGAGACTAAACACAGTGAAGGTGAAAGCACAAACAGACCCAGTGCCTGCCATCACGGGGAGGCTTGGCAACTCCTGGAACAGCAGGATGAGTGTGTACACTGGGCT